ACCGATCACGAATCCCTCAAATACTTCCACACCCAACGCCACCTTGGCCGCCGCCTTGCTCGTTTTCACGACGACATTTCTCACTTCAACGTCCAGATCATCTACCGCCCTGGCCGCTCGCAAGTCGCCGCCGACGCGCTCTCCCGCCGTGAAGGACAGTGTAATAGACGTACCCTTGATGCAATACACCCAGGGACTACTGGAAGTGCTAATTCATTACCCCCAGCATATTAATGGCAGTAAGTGTGCCATTAATGCATTACACTGCAAAATCACAATATTGCTTTTTTCGGCCGGTTTATTTACATAATCATTTTTTTTTCTGGTTGATAGCTGATTTCATCACCTGTCAAACCATCACCTTTGATTTATTGATTACTCCTTTTGCTTGCCTGATGAAAAGGCAGACAGATGTTGTACCTTGTTTACTTTGCATCAAATCAGCTACATTTACCCGTCCCCGGCACACTCCGTGCTGATCACATGATTTGCTGAAGCTTGGCATCAATCCGTTTCCCTCCGAATGGTGCCCGACAGCCCCCGCCAAAAGATTGATCTTCAATTTGCAACTGTTTTCTTTGCGTGCCCCCGCTGATCACGGGCCTTTTGGCCCGGGATCCCGTTTCCCTCCGAATGGTGCCCGACGGCACCCGCCAAAAGATTGATCTTCAATTTGCAACTGTTTTCTTTGCGTGCCCCCGCTGATCACGGGCCTTTTGGCCCGGGATCCCGTTTCCCTCCGAAAGGTGCCCGACAGCCCCCGCCAAAAGATTGATCTTCAATTTGCAACTGTTTTCTTTGCGTGCCCCCGCTGATCACGGGCCTTTTGGCCCGGGATCCCGTTTCCCTCCGAATGGTGCCCGACGGCACCCGCAAAAGATATTACTTCGGATTTTTTCTTGATAAAGACTCTCGCGTGTAGTTGACGTACGGCCTTTAACTGGTCTCCTGCCTGGCCTGGAATAGGGAGCTTACCCAACGCGGAGCCCTGCCGAACCCTTACACAATCGAGTGCCGTAACCATTCACCCTTCGATTCGTCTAAGTCCACCGCTAATACACAAGCTTGGCTTTTCCTACATTTCACGACGTAAACAACACCGTTCTACGAAAGCAAAATCCAAGCCAATCTACGTCGTCTTCCTCGCCCCTCCCCGAGTCACCCTTCTCTCTACAGGAGCAGGAGTGTCATCCTTCTTCTTCTTCTGGCGTTTTCTTCGCCGACCCCCGACGTCGTTCTCCTCTTGGCCACTCCCTTCCTCTTCGTCCTCGTATTCCTCAGTATCCAGCCGTTTGCGCTTGTCCGCTACTTTCTCCACCGGCCTATAGCAAACAAATGAGCTTTGGTCTTTCTTCAGTGAGTCGACATTTATTCGAACCTTTCCTTCTTCTTAATCTTCCCAGTTGCCAGCACCTCACGCAGCAGCCTCGTCGTCGCCCTCACCGCCTCCTTCCATTCATCCCCATGGTCCGCCGCCCCCCACCAAAGTAGGGCGAGCAGCACGAGCATGAAGCCCAGTCGTCCATGCATCGTTACCAATTTCACCCGTTCCCCGCCCTCAATCTCGCCCCACCACTCCCACCATTGCGCCACGTACGACTTTTCGAGGTCCTTCCGCCCCAGCCGCGCCTCGCCAAGCTTGACCGGGACGTACCACTTGCGGCCCTGCTTCATGAAGTCCTTGAGCTCCTTGGGCCGTTTTTCCGTCGTCAGCTGCCCGCCGTCGTTGTCGAAGCCTGAAGCCTTCTCCACATCAAACCAGGCCCTCACGCAATCACCCCAGTCGTCGCCCAGCTCATGCTTTCCCGTCGAGAAAGCGCCAATCGCCTTCCGGACCTCTGGCGTCCATTCCTCGTCGTCGTCTTTCGTTGGGTCCCAGACCTCGTGCAGCACCGGTCCGTTGTTACTGCTACCGCCTCCCCCCTCTCGCTCGAGCGCCCCACCACCCGGATTCTCCGTCTCACCACTCCCCGCTTCACCGCCAACGCGACCCTCGGCGGCGATTCCTCTTCCAGACTCGGGTCTGACGTCCATATTCCCGCGCGCACCCTCCGCATCCGTGCCCACGTCACCTGCGCGTCTGTTTGTTGTCGCCGCGCTGCCGCTCGGCGGGGCGCCCGCGGTGCTTGCGCCTCCGTTCGTCCCGGGGCCCGTGGTCCCGTCGGCGTTCGCTGGGGCGCCCGCGGTGCTTCCGCCCACAGCCGGCGACCCTTCGGGAGTCGCCGCCGTCTGCGGGACACCCTGCGTCCTCGCGATACACTCATCCTCCGCTGTCGTACTTAATTAATCCAATATAATTTTTGACAAGAAAACAAAACGCTCACTGAAGCACCGCTCGGTGAATTTTATCATCGACTTCTCAGCTGCCTCGTAGCCAATAGGGTCGAGCTGGTACCACTTGTGGGCGCCGACGCCTCGAGTTGTGCCGGCATGTACGCTGGTAAGAATAATTCAGCATCTCACACTGTCAGACAGACTTCCTCCTTACCTCCGCACTTCGATTGCTCCACCTCGATCTCCCATGGGCCCACACAGCAGGATCGAGCAATTCAGGCCGAACTTCTCTTTTATCGCCTCAGCCAGCGGGTCCAAGTAGAACGCAGCGTTCTTGAGCGCACTGTACATACAACTATCAGTTTGGATTAACCCCTAACACCGCCGCCACTTACGCATTCATTTCTTCCGCTGTCCTCGCTGGCGTCTCCGCTCGCGTCAACTCCCAGGCCTTCACCGCCGCGACGTGCTCAGCCTCCACCGCCAGCACGAGTTCCGCCTTGAATTCCTCTGTCTCCTCGCCGAATACGTCCTTGGTAACTTGGTTTCGAATCTTAATCTTCATGTCGTGAGGCTCGGGTTCCCCCAGGTCATTGGCGCGCATAAGTTGGTTCGCCCACGCCGCGTCAAAACGCGCCTTGACCCTGCCCTCGTAATGGTGCCGCGAATAGTAGTGGAGAAGCTGCGCCTTTCTTGGACACCCGGGACCTTTATTCTCAAGGCCCCCCAGAAGAACGTCGGCGAACATGTGCTTTTCGCGCTCGTCCACACGCCGGTAGGTACGGCAGTACCACGCCGCAATTCTCTGGCAAAATTATATTATGTTAATCTCGTTTGCCATAAACAGAAACAGACTACTCGCCTTGCGCACCGTGATGTGCTTCTCGCTGCGCTGGTCCGCCTCCTCCTTGGTCAGTTTGTCTGACCCAGGGATCGGCTCGTCTGGATTGGTAGGGTCGGCGACGTCGGTCTCCAAGTCCTCGTCGTCTTTCATCTCGTGGCCGTACTTCAAGAAGTAGAGGTTGGTGACTTTCTGGTAGAAGGCGGCCACCTCATCATTCCCCTTCTCGCTCGCAGCTTTCCACTCGTCGGCGCGACTGACGAAGAACTTTTCCTTAGTCCCGTGTATCCACGAAGTTTTGCCAGGTTTCGCGCCGAGGGTCTTCCTGACGCGTTTTTTAGCTGGCCCTTTTCCGGCAGCGGTAGGGCTTTTCTTCGCGCTTCCCTTGGCCCGTGGCATGCCGAGTGCAGCAGAATCAAAGTGTCCGTGAGCAACAAACAATTCGGAATCAAAACCAATTGGCGCTCACGTGGCCGGACAAAGCGCCGAATAACCTTGGAATAACCTCAATAAATGACACAGATATTCAAACGCGCCCAATAACCTCACGAATATGCAATGGGTGGCTTCGCAAATAGCCAACTATTTTAAGGAAACCCCCTGCCGCGCATGTTACTGACAGTCAAATTAATTCAGACCACTTCGCCAGTGCTTTCCAAACTTCTCTCGCAACTCCAGCTCCTCCTCCAGCTCCTCCGTCGTATGCCCTGAGTCGCCGCTGTCCCCCTCGTCTTCCTCTGAATCCTCCTTTCCCCTCAATTCCCTCAGCCGCGCCCTCAACTTTGCCCGATGCAATTTCCTCTCCTTTTCCTCGCGCTTGAGCAAGCGCTGTATGGTGGCGACCCTCCGGTGTTCGCCCCCAGTCCCCTCGTGATCTCGCTCTGCCGCCTTCCTCGCACGCGGTTTTTTGGTGGGTTTTTCGGCAACAGCCTGTGTCCGCGACCGCGACGCTGACCGAAATGGCAGTTGCAGCTGTTTCAGCTTGGGAGTGGTGTATGACTTCGGCATAGGATAAATGGCCTGCAGTTTGTGGTTGTTACATGGGGTGCTTCGACGTCGATTGACTCACTGAGAACAGATTGCGGAAGGCAAGTCCTTTGTTTGGCTCTACCTCCCAATAATAACATATATTTCCCGCAGACTGCAAGTTTTCGAGCGTGTATTCTACCATAAACACTCAATTTATGAATAATGGCTCAAGATTGGTCGTGCGCACAAGCCCCGAGTCCATGTGGAGTGAATATTGTATATTGAATGAAACCCAAAAAAAAACGGGCGCCGCGCAAAGTGTAGTGACAATAATGCGAGCGAGGAGGCGGGTCCTATGCGTCCACCTCCATCGCCTCCGCCTCCGCCTTCGCGCGCTGCGCCACCCGAATCTTTTGCGCCATGTTGGCGGCCTCGTCCCAACCCAACGCCACCTGCACCGCCCCCTGCGATATCTCGCCGAACGCATCATCCTTCGAGTGGTGGATCGCGCCAGAGGCGCCCACGAAGAAGGTGTCGTCTCGGCTGATCATCGACGCTGCTACTGCCGCCTTCCCCTTCCCTTTCCCCCCCACTGCAGCCGCACGAGACGCACTCGACGCCAAGGACCCAGGTCGCGCAGACCCCGAAACCGACCCAACGTCGTTTCCTGCACATGACGCTGTGAGCTATCACTTTGTGATACGCTCAAGCGCGGCGGAAATCAGTAACGAAACGACTCACGGAGGAAATCACGATAAGCCTCAGAAGACTACACGGCATGCTACGGCTGTCACGGAGGTTTTTCCCACGGTTGAAAACTGGCCTGGCGGACGCTCCCTGCGCGGACGGAAAGGTAACACGCTGCTGCGGAACACGACTACGGAACGCTCGCGGAAAAAAGGAAGCAAAATTGCCAAGGCCCGACCTCGAATCGAACGAGGGACTCGCAATTGTAATCAGAAGAGAGTTGCATTGCAAATGCGCGCGTTACCGTTACGCCACCGGGCCTATACTGCCAAACCCACGGAGTCACTCACGGTCGAATACTTGCGCACGCTCTCTCCGTGACGGAAAAATACACCTACGGAGCGTGGGAAAAAGCGGGAAAAAGCGAATAAAGGCCCGACCTCGAATCGAACGAGGGACTCGCAGATAGTGCAATATTGTCAAGAACCGACAATGCGCGCGTTACCAGTTACGCCACCGGGCCTATACTGCCAAACCCACGGAATCACTCACGGTCGAATACTGGCGCACGCTCTCTCCGTGACGGAAAAATACACCTACGGAGCGTGGGAAAAAGCGAACACGGCTTGACCTCGAATCGAACGAGGGACTCGCAATTGTAATATCGAGGAGAGTTGACTGCAAATGCGCGCGTTACCGTTACGCCACCAGGCCTATACCTCGAACAACCAGCAAATATCAAGGAGTGCCACACGGACATATTCACGGGCGACTTACGGATCGCTACAGGGACATGCGAAGCGACGGGATCGGGCAAACGTAAAGGTTGTGGGGGCAGGTTTCCGTCGAGCCTAACGGAAGGCGCGTCCGTCAAACTTAACGGAGAACATGGGAGTCGAACTTCGCGGAGGGCATGTGAGGATCCACAGGAAGGGCAATACAACGGAGGCTTCACGGAGAAGTTCACGCGCGGTAATCGGGAGGGAATACGTATAAAAGCCAGATGTATTTACCAAGGAAGATTATCTTGTTATCCCCCACTGCTCACACCTAAGCTACCCTCCCCCCAGCCTTACGGGGCGGAGTTGTCTTTCTCATACACACATAATAGCTCAGGCTACGCCGTCTTCCGTGGGGCTAGCTAAATAGGTCACTTAGATTGAAGGTTCACCAAGGAACCCTTTCTAAAGGTCCCTTCGACTCCGTAAAAACGGGTCGAGAGGAAATTGTTGAATACAAAGGCGTTGGTCACGGCGCAGTCGATGAAAAGCGCGTACTTCTAAACAGCCAGCAGCCCCTACTTAGCTGCGTGCAACTGTTGTATTGGAGGCTCAAACGCAGATCCGTGCGCAGGGCACCACTCCCCATCTTCACGGAAGGCTTATCCGTGAAGACTATAACCACTCCACCATTTCATTCGATACACAACTTCACCACACTCGTCACGGAACCTCATCCGTTGCGCGTTCACACAAGCACAGGAAGAAAACGGGCTACGGAGGAAAAGAGCTATAGCCCGCTCGCGCTGTGTTAAAACCCACGTTTTAAAGACACTGCTTGCCCGAGTAATTCGAGGCAGGGAGAAAAGAGAAACCCCCATATCACCCAGGTCTCCCGGCTCGGATCGACGCTCACATTGCGAAGCTCTATTCCTTCGCGCAAGTGTAGAGCGACCTCCAAACCACGGCTTTCCTGGAAGGCTAGCCCCCAACGAGGAACTAAAAACCTCGAGGAACCTAGCGCTCACATCCTAATCCTCACGGAAACGGATTGTACCATCTCACCACCACCACCACAATTATATAAACCTTCCGTAGCGTACGAGTAGCTACGTTTCTCCGCGACAGAGTAATTTCCCTCTAGAGGACGAATCACCTTCGTGTACTTGCCTGAAACCAATTCACCTGGTCAGACATTTCACGGAACCGCAGTCCGCATCACATCTGGAGCCCACCGCGAGGGGGAAATTCACAGCTGGAGACTCGCGCTCGATCTGTACGCGCGGTTCGCGGCTCGACTAAAGTCGCTCCGCCGATACCCGCTTCCACAAGCAAGCGCGGTCCCCATCGCACTCTACAACAAGAAATAAACCTCGCAGAAAACCAACCTGCGGCAGGACCATCGGAGTCTCAGACCCAGATACCTGCGGAGGGAAACGATTCAGACCACTCTGAACTCACGGAACTAGAGGATACGGAACCTGCTTCCTCTCCTGCCGAAACTCCGTCGATCTCAGATCCATCATCCATTACGCTGTCAAGCGATTCAACCCCATCACCCCCTTCCAGTAACCCCGTTCCAACTCAACTTTCACGGAAGATGCCGAAACCCTTACCAGCTCGAGGAGGGAAATCCGCCCCTAGCTTCGACGGAAAAGCCACTCACTTGAAGCGGTATTTCCAAGACGTCGAGGACGTTGGAACCGACTCGGAAAGAACCACGGACGATGAATTAATTCATATTGCTCTACGGTACCTGGACATCGACGAAGAGCAACTATGGTCACGGAAACAAACCGTGGGCATGACCTTCCAGGCGTTTAAAGACGCTATCGTAAAATTATACCCCGGAGCAGACGGGGATAAATTATACACCTGGACGGATTTCAAGGAAACCGTGAGGCAGGGTCAGATAAAATCACCTGCGAACCGCGACGAGTTCGGACAGTACACGAGGAATTTCCAGCGCATAGCCGACTTCCTAAAAGCCAAAGGGAAAATATCGGACAGGGAAATAAACGAGAACTTCATGAGAGGAATTCACCCGGACTTCCGTCTCAGGGTGCTAGGAAGGTTGCAGGTGGTAAAGAGTGGTCAACCAAGCGACGAACCATACCCCATGATAGACGTGATCGAGGCCGCGGAATGGGCTATCAGTGGTGTTCCAGGCGCACTGTATAAAGATACCGACGAGGACAGCACCTATATCAAAAAGGAGATGGTGGAACTCACTACGGCGATGCGAGACATGAATCAAACCTTCACGGCGCAGATTCAATCTCTCTCACGGAAAATCGAATCGGGAGGTTCACGGAGCAACGAGGCAGCGCGGGGTAGGACCTTTCAGAATCAGGCTCAGCCGCCGCCGCAGGGTTGGAACCGTGAAAACACTCCAGCGTTACCGGCTCAGAACCAAGCGTTCCAAGACGCCCAGAGGACGGGCCCGGGGAATAATCCAGGAGGTGGCTTCACGCAAGGAAAATGTGGCGGTTGCGGAGAGGCGGGCCACTTCTTGAGGGAATGCGCGAAAATCGAAGAGTACATCCGCACTGGGAAATGCAAGAAGAACGAGGAGAACCGCATAGTGTTGCCGGGAGGGAATTACATTCCACGCTACATCACGGGGAATTCATTTGTCGAACGCATCGATAAATGGCACGCGCAGCAAACGCCGGCGCACGTTAATCTGTACACGCGGGATTCCCCGCCACACATGCTATACATGGCCACTTCGACGGAAGGAGACGAAGAGGAGGCCGAGTCCACGGAGACCCTAGCTTATCAAGTGGGCAATGCTTCGATAAACGAACTCGACATCGAGGATATAGAGGCTTTTCTCGAGACCCGTAAACGCGTAGAGCGCGGGAGACCGAAGGAGGTATTTGACGGGGTGGAATTACCGCTGAAACCTCCTTCCGCGGGAAAGAAGAAAGTGGGTTTCGCCACGGAACCTACACTTCCGCCAAAACCTGTTCCGAGAGCTCCCGCGGCGGCTAGGCCAGTCGCGTTGCCAGAAGAGCCAACAATTACCTTGAACCCGACCAAACCTTACGTCCAAAAATACCGCGCACCGATAGAAGACTCCGTCAGTACGGTGGACATGGTTAACAGGGCCATGAAGACAGCCAAGTTCGAAATCACTCCGCAAGAATTCTTTGCCATTTACCCGGAAGGTAGGAAGTTTCTGAAAGATTTACTAACCGCGAAAAAGGTGCCAACCGTGGGAGTCTCGTACTCTGAAGCCGGGCGAGAGAACCAATACGTTCTCCGTTATGAAGAAAGCGACGGCGAGATCCGAGAAGATAAACTCACGTCCTCCGAGATCGACGCTCTTCGGGTGGTAGACCCTATCCTCGATGACAACCTTCAGATCGAGGCCGTCCTCGATCAGGGTTCAGAAATCATCGCCATGAATAAAGATATCTGGCTGAAGCTCGGGGTGGCCCTAGACCCGCAGAAGATATTGAATATGCAATCGGCAAACTCCCAGTCCAATGCCACGGCAGGAGTAATAAACGATGTCAAAATGACCATTGGCGGGTTGGACCTTCGCTTCCAGATTCACGTGGTACAGGGAGCACCGTTTGACCTACTCCTGGGAAGGCCATTTTTCCGATTCACGGGATGCGTTACCACGGACAACGTCAACGGAAGCCAGGAAATCACTATTACCTGCCCGAATACGGGAAAGAGGGTCACGATTCCTACACGGAAAAAGACAAATAAAAGCCGAAACCCCTTTAGAGAGGAGGTTAGGGCAGACCTGGGTTTTCACGGCGCGGGGAAGCGTCATTAGTCGCTGTCTCCGCGAGCGAGATACAGGACAGCTTCGACCAAGTCTCCACCGGATCCATGCATTTAAAATATCGGCCACTCCCCGCGTACGCCACCTGGAAGTGGAAACGCGCGCATAATCAACGAATCGACATCCCTTCATTCAATTTCTCGGCGCTAGCGCCTCCATTAATTTTGTATGCCCCTAACGGGACGAACACGCACCACGTCCGAGCTATCGAAATTACGGACACGGAGCAGGTCTGGGAAGTTTCACGGACGTACCTCCAGTACTGCTTAACGCAGGCTTACGAATATAACGAAATAATACACGCATTTACCGTGAAAACAACGGCGGGCGAGGCCGCTGTGGAGGAGAAACCAGAGAAAAAGAAGAAGAAGGTCGTCGTCCAAAGGGTGCGGGGGCTTGGCATTGGCGTCCAGAAAAGGGAGCTCGGGCAAGGGTGGCAGGTCGGTGAGAGGGGGTGGCGCATCCGGACGAACGGGACGCGGGCGCAGCTCAGACGGGTCCACGGCGTTCGACTCCACGGCTTCCAGTCGGTAGGTGGCGCCGCGAACGTGCTCGACGGCGAACTCCAGTCGACGGTTGATGGCCTTCCAGTCGGGAAGCGGCGGGTCGGCGAGGTGGTAGTGAAGCCGGTATTGCCCCAGGATTTGCCTTTCCGTGAGACGTTCTTCCAAGAAACCGGGCGTAAAATCCTCCCCCTCGACGCGAAGTCGAGAAGGGCACGCAGACGCGGAGTCTGACGCGGCTGGAGGGTTGACGGAAGATGGCGCCTTGGATTTCTTCGCGGACTTGCGGCTGGA